CCTCCTTCAGGAAGCAGCAGATCCATTCATCCAGAAAGCAGGACAGGGTATGCAAAGGATTGGGTTTGAAAATACTGCCAGAGTTGCAGGGCTGGTAGGGAGAGCTGACATCTATTTTATAGATTAACTGGTGGAGTTGGAAAGGTGTTTTAGTGTTTAGGATAAGGAGGAAAAAGGTGAGGGGAAAACCAAGTGCACCTGACAAATTCAGTCACCTTCTCAGCTATATTTTTCCATGTCTGGTTTCTGTTCAGGGCTGAGTTCCCTCTTTGCTGGGCTAATTATTCAAGTTCAGCACCTGTGAGGGACTTTCCTCTATTTTTAACTTCCCAGATAATGAGTCTGCCCGGTCTATAAGAAACAGGGAAGTCCTGACAGTGTTATTTCAGACACAGTGTGTGAATTTTTTTTTCAGGCTTTCTACTTCTGCATCAATTAATACTTTAGAACTAGAGGTAAAATCCATTCCCAGAACAAACAGGACCTGCAATGAAGCTGAGAAGAAACCCTATAATCTGCTTTTCTCTATTCTGAGGGAATTTCTGTGTGCTTGGGGAGCAACCACCACGTTGTTCCTACATCTTAAACACCACAGGTGGTTTTGGCCTTTCCATCCCAGAAAGGTGTCAGCAGAACTAGAAATCCTTCAGGAAAGGGCTGCAGTATAATCTAAGGTGTGGAATGGCTTCAGAATGAGAAATTACTACATTTCATCCAGGAAAAAAGTGGGAAAATAAGAAAAATTATTAATTCACGAAGTTCTCTGCAGGTACAGACATGGCCCCCTGTCCTCACTGTTGGTGTTAGAAGTAAAAGTTGCAGGATAAAATATAAGTAAAGATGTAAGGATGGGAACCTGGGCCAAACACCACAGTGAAACATCACCTGTATATTGTCTGCAATGCAAAAAAACCCCACAAATTCCTGGTTCTGCCTCTAAAAACTTTTTTTTACCCTTAAAATAGATTTGGGATAAATGCCTTTTGAGGGTTTATTTTTACAGAGACTTGTGGTTTTTTATAAATGTGTTCCTAGAGCAGATTAAAAACCTGCTGCAAACTCTCTCCCCACCTCGTCCAGGAGGCACCTGGATGTTCCAGAGTTCCCAACCACTCCTGCTGGACAGCACACCTGGACATGGTGGCAATTAGTCCACAGTGCTCACCTGGTATTCAGCCTTGCCTACAGGTAGCCCTTAATGAACAAACCCTGATAATTCAGGAATGATTTAATTAAAAATGGCATCCTTCTCTTGCAGGAATTCAGTACTTTACTGCTTAGCTGGCAGCAAACACATCCCATGTCACTGGATGCAGAAAGGGTCTTCTAATTGCAAATTTTCTTCACTCATCCTTGAGATTGTCACCTTAACCTCTAAATGTGCAAAATGTAAATAAATATCTAAATATCCAGAGGTAGCAAATTATGGGCAGCAGTCAGAGCTAACTGTGGGAGAATTGAGCTCAGAACCCTTGAATAAGAAAACAAAAATAGCACAGTTAAATTAAAGAAATTCACTGGCAGATTTAAATCCAGAAGAGAAGAAATTACAGTCCTTAGAAGCTCTGTAAAGTTATTCAAGTATCCTGTAATCAAGGTCCAATACATCCTGTAAAGAGGAGCAAGGAAGCAGTGAGGAATTCATGTAGCCAAACCAGAGTTTAGTGCTGGGCTGTGCAGGTTCCAATCCTGTTCCTGAAAATGTCTCCTAAAAATAGGGCAAGCCTCAGTGACAGGAATGTCAGGGATCAACAAAGCAGTGACAGCTTTGATGAGCCAGCACAAGTTCCAGTGTCAACCTGGCAGGAACAACCTTAGAAAAGCCTTGAATTCATTAAAAGCCTTACAAAAAACTCCTGATTCTTATTAGCAAATCCCTTTTCTGAACGTTTTCCATAATTAATTATGTGTAGAAGTATTCCTGTCTCCATGACAAGTGTTAGTCACAACATTCTGGGCACTTCTATGATATTTGGCACAAGACATCATTGACTGACATGTGATGGATTTTTAACTGTAAAAGGAAAAATGGGATTCTGAAACCTCGTGGCTCCTTTTTTCATAAAGATCCCACAGAGTTATTTGGGAAACATCAGTGTGATGTGGAGAGGAAAAGGATGATTTAGGTTTTAGGGCAGGGATGTGAACAGGTGACACAAGCTGGTGTCAGACCAAGCCCATGGAGCTGCCTAAAGCAGGCACAGAGGATGGATTTGGAACTGGACAACATCCAAACAGCTCTTGTGAAAAGCAATCCCAGCCCCAAGGGCTGCAGAGGGCACCCACAGCGAGCTCAGGTGGCTGCAAGAGGCAGAGGAGACACAAACCCAAGGATTGTTCCAGCCATGGATTTCTGCCACGGGGCTCAGTCATGCAGAGCTAATAGATCAGCTGCTGCTGCCTTGCTTACCCCAACAGCCAGCTGAGGTTACACTTTCTCACTCTTTTCTTATTTTAGAGGTAGTTATCTTATCACAGGAGCCTGCATGGTCACGCAACATTTACAGCAGCCAAAGTGACATGAAATGGTTCCAGCTGCATCTGGGATAATCAGATACCTCTTTCCAAATCAAAGCATCATTGTTTGCTTTAGCACATCCTACATCCAGGCAACCCACAACTTCCTTAAGCTCTGTCTCCCAGGAACAGTTTGTTGCAAATCATTTATTGTTATCCTGATTATTGGCAACCTCCCCTGGCTGTAATTTCTGCTCCTTAAGAAGATTTGTCAGTGACTGTTGTGATTTCTATTTGCTAAAATCTATATTAACAACGCAAAGTGGTTTTGAGTTGGTTTTTGGTTTGGTTTGGGGTTTTTTGTTGGGTGGGGTTTTTTTTTTTGTGGATGTTGGTTGGTTTTTTGTTATATGTTCTTTTAACAAAATAGAGTGTCTCTAAGGGACATTTTAAAAAGATTTAATGAACAGTGACAGCAAAAAGGTTTTTCAGTATGTTGATTTGGAAGCTTAAACTGATCTGCATTTGCAACCTGCTGTGAGACACATCAGCGAGGCTGAAGTTGCAAATGGCTTTTGAAGTGAGATGTTTGGACTCCAAGAATAAAATGAAAATCAGAAATACATGGCCAGAGGTTTTTCTCTCACAGCAAGACGTATCCACAATGTTCCAGGATGGGGAGAACCTGGAGCTCTTACTGAGCTGCTGGTGCCAGTGTGAAAACTGAAAACAGCACTGGGATTGTAGCCTTGGGATTTATCCCCATATGGGAGAGCCTCCAGAATGGATTCTTGACAAAGGCATTCAATAACCACCACTGAATTCAGATTATCAGCCCAACAGTGTTGTGGTATAAGTATTTTTTTACTGTCCTTCTTTAACAGTAAAAAAAAAAAAGAAAAGTACTTTCCCTATGGCTGCTTCTCATTTAATAAAAAGAAAACAGCTTCCCTACACAAGGGGAAATTTTCATAGTCTAAAATGTGACTAAGACTCCTCCTTTCCTACCAAAATGCAATTCATCAACAGAACCTGGCAAAGGTCTCAGAGGGGACAAGAATGATTTGGTTTTTCTGGACCTTTTGTATTGATTTTCCAAACAACCCTGACAAATCCGCTTTGCTTTCAGAAAGGATTTGTGAAAATTCTCTCACAATGCAGAATCCACCAGGCAAGAGCTGTACCTGTGCAAAGGCTTTTAATAAAACTCTAATGCTCCAGACCACAAATGAGGCAGCTGGGCTGAAAAATTGCAATATAAAAGAGAGGTCAGAGACAGTTTTGTATAACCTGAAGATAAGTGGGGAAGCAGCGCTGGGAGGGCAGCCAGTGTGGAACACTTAAAAATTACAAATAGACACTCACATATCTTTCCCAGCTCAGTTTTCCCACCTGCTTCTTTCGAGATCAGGAATCTCTCTCCTCATCAGCCTCCAGTTAAGCCACTGGGAGAAGTGCCTGAGACATTTCTGAACTCTATCTCACATCATTTTTTTTTTCCTGATGTACTACCACAGGTCTCCTGCTTGATTTCCAAGCCCCATTGTGCTCCATGCCCCTGGGCAGTGCAGTCTTACTCATCATAAATAAAGATTTCTCTTTGAACTATAAAGGCAAAAAAAGGTTTCCACATTTTTAGGTGATATGTCTTTGTTAAGCAAACCTAACAAACCCCTTAGATATTTACCTAACAGCTATTTTAACACGTGGCAAAGACCTGGCAGATTAACTCTTGAATTAAAGTGGCTTTTTCTTCCCCTGATTTGTTCACCTGAAATCGAAATTTTGAGAACGAACACCTTCATGTAGCTACAAACTTGGTGCATGACATAAAAGGATGCATGTTCTACTTTTGTTTTACTCTGAGGTTACAGTGAACAGGAAAAACAAAATACCTGAAGATTAAATTTTTTCCTTTTAATCCAAAGAACACCATCAGATATGGCTCCTATATCCAAAGATCAAAGATTGGGAACTTGAGAGGAGATGCAACTAACAAAAAACAGGGATGCAATGATGAAGTTATTTACATATCTCAGATACATTAAGTCATGCAAAACAGAACAGAAAGGCTGAAGGGATTGGGACTAATAAAAAACAAAAGTGAAAATATAAGTGTGTTGTAACCATTAGTCTGAGTAATGATATAAAAATATCTTTTTTTTAATATAGTCCTTCTGAAAACAACTGGAGTGCATTTACATCCCAGTCTCTTGATAAAGTGGTATTCCTAAATTTGCATAACCCCAAAACAATACATTTTCATTAATTTATGATCCTAGAGAAAACAAAGAAAGTGCTTATTTTTATAAAAATTGTGTGGTGAATCCATAGAAACCCCGCACCACATCCTCATTGGAATTGCATCTACGGAACATTTCTTTAAGAGCTAAAAAACAATTCCACTGTATCAGGAATTCCTGAGGATGGCTCCAGCTGCAGATCTAAGCCTGTGAAGTCACCTGCACTCAACAAGGGGCTTGTTTCACAGTTTGAGTTTTAAAAAGTGCTTATTGTAATTTGATTTTTGCCTTGACAGGGTTTCTGTCTGACGTGGGTTTGGTGATGGTTTCGCTACTCCAGGACCAGTCCAATATTAAATTTTCTCCTTCGGACACTCTGGAAAGGGACCAGCAGGACCTGATGAAGGCACAGGGGGATTCAATATCCCCAGTTCAGCAGAGTGTGAGTAAACTGGCCCAGGCCTGTTCTCTTCCTTCATGCATCAGAATCAGCATTCAGCTCTTGCTGAATCTCACCAAACCTAATGGTGACAAAGCAAGACTGGAAGTTTTATTCCTGAAGGATAGAAACCTGAGTTATCCTGCTCAGCTAATCTTCAACTCCAGCTAAATGTTCTGTTGCGTTCCTAAAAATGACTGGGAAAGCTGTGCTGTGTTCCACTGCAGAAAGAAGTGGATTTATCCTGATTTCCCTTGTGGGATTTCTCGGATTTGGAGATGGAAGGAGGGAAGGGAGCCCTCAATCATCTGGTCTGCCTTTTTGTGGAGCACAGGACATTCCATTTCCCCTCTCCCTGAGCACAGCACCCTGCTCCTGCCTGATGTGTGTCCTCTCAAAGGCTTCCACTAATTACTCATGCCTGATGTCAGGGGAAATATGCATATTTTCAGTGCCAGATCCAGACTGCAGCCCTGCTCCAGCCTTTCCCCTCCAGATTAAAGAGCACTTCAGCAGCTGCTGTTTTCTCTTTGCTGCAGTGCAGGAGGGAGGGGAGGAGATGAGACAGGAGTTTGGAGTCTCCTGTCTTGTGTCTCCAAATGAGTGTCTTGTGTCTCCAAAGCCTGTCTTGTGTCTCCAAATGAGCGTGGCCACCTTAATGAAGGGAAGTGATGCAACCACCAACAAATCTGGAGCCTGGAAGCCCATCAGGGGATGAGATCAAGCTTATTTGGCTAAACTTGCAGGCGACAAGACTTGCACTTATCACATTCCTTGCCGGAGCAATCCCTAGTTCGGGGTGGCTCCATGTGGTGGAAAAATCTCTCCTCCAACCTGTGCTTCCAAAGAAAGGCTCTGCAGTCTCTGTTGTTTGGTCTCAAGGCAGTTTATTGCAAGTTATCTAAAAGATTTTCTTCTGGGGCTGCTGTGGTTTGCTCACAGCTCAGGCAGAGGCACACACACACCCTGACATCCTCTCTGACTCTCATCTTCTTCTCCCCCTGCCCAGGGCTGTGCTATATTTATATGGTACATTACGTGTTACATGGTTACAGTTTTTCCCCAATGCCTATTACCTATATTAAATGGTGCTTTTCTACTCTAAACCAATCTGTGAGTGCCAGCATCACCGAGAACATGGAGGGAAGGAAGAAGAAAGAGTAAGGACAGGACAGGCCCAAATCCCGCCATCTTAAAACTTCTGACACCATGTACAAAAATAAAACCCCATGTATAACACTAAAAAATTCTTCCCTCTACTTTGTGACTACTTCTACTATAATATCTAAACTTTTGTGACTTGTTGTTCTTCCTGCAAGGTTGGTAAATCATGGTTCAAACCCAAAATCACAGCTGTTTCCAGCTGCCTGCCAGGGTCTCAAATGCTTCTGACCTGGGCCCGGAACCTCCAAAAATGTCTGAGGGACATTTTGAGCTCTGACAATTCCTGTCATTTAATCTTCCATCACTTGATCTTCCTCAGCTTTTCCCTGAAAGGGTCAGAGCAGAGAGTCATAAAATATATGTTAATTAATTAATTAATTAATTAATTAATAAACAAATATCAATATTCCATCACAGCTTTTAATGCAATTAAAATATAAATTTTACACTTTATAATTTCCATAAATAGATAACTTCAACAATGAAAATAATACCATATTTGCACTGACTTAAATCAATAAATCTGACTCTCCCCTGACAGGAGAACCCCAGTTACAGCTGCCAGCCCTATGAGCCAGACACCAGGACAGAAAGGACGAGCTCGGAATCCTCTCCCAGCCCCAGCCCGGCTTCCCCACGCCAGGAGCCCACGCAGGGCAGGTTCCCCTCCAGCCAAGGAATCCCTTGTGGCACCAACAAATTCAGGGCATCCTTCAGCACCGAGAAATTCCGGCGCTGCAGCTACGAGGAGAACAACGCCGGCAGCTACGAGCGCTTCCTCAGGAGCAGCAGGAACCCCTTCCACCCCTACAAGAGGCAGCTGGGCGAGGATGTCTTCCAGGAACCACAGCAGGCCCTGCCACCAGAAGCTTCTCCCTTCAAAAGCCACCAGAGCATCGATGGCTTTGAGGGGCTCCCGGGATCTGCTGAGGAGCCAGAGGCGTTTCCCACCCACATCCCAAATATCTCCTCGGAGCAGCCGTGGTGTACCAACCTCCAGTACAGCAGCACGGGGCAGGAGCACGGCTCTCAGCTCATGGTCAGTGGGGTTTGGTTGTTGTTTTGCTTGTTTTCAGTGGTAAAAATGTGCTTTTGGAAGTATTTTTTTTATTATAGTGTGGTTATGTTGGTGTTTATCGGTTATCAGAGAAGCAGATTTAGACATATCCATGTTTATTTGTCCAAATTCTCTGTTTTATGGTCTTATCCTCAAACAATCCTCAGAAAGATGCATAAAGATAAATGGTTTTCCATTAGACGGGGTACAGGAATCCCAAATATCCAAATGCTCCCTGACAACGAGGTTTGTCATCAGCTGGGGTTTTCTGGAGACAAAGGTTCACAAAAGAGTGTTTTCAAGCATGAGGATGGAGCACATTTGGTCCAACACCTCAGCTCACCTGCACTTTTCTCAGTGCGAATGGAAGAGAAAACTCTAAGACATGAGTGCCACCAAAAATAATGATCAGCTCTGACATTGATATGTGCAGTGCAAAGTTACCTGGGCTAATTTCAATACCAGATAGAGGCAACTGCCTATTTGGGGCAGCAGAGATCCCTGAAAAGCAAATTAAATTACCCTCCAGTATCTCCACAGTATCTCTGCTGTGATCCAAGGTGTAAAGTGTATCTTGGTCATCTCCTGCAGCCAAAAAGAACAACTCCACCTGCCAGAGGAGAGCCCTGAGCTGGTTCTAAATGGCTGGGAAAGGAAGAATTCAGGGCTACCAAATGAAAGAGGAGTTTAAAAAAAAAAAAATTCTTAATTGGATTAAGAGCAGGGAATGGAGAGATGTTGTCAGGGAACATACCTGGGGATTGAAGCCATCCAGGTTAAGGAGGAAATTGATCTAAATCTCTTATTTCCTGGATAAACACTCATCTAGGTCAGAGGAGTTCAGTGCTGCAAAACCTATGAGCAGCTGGCGAAAAAAAAAAAAAATTTCCCATTTTCTTCCCAATTCCCTGGGCTGCAGGATGTGCAGGATGCAAGGGCAGCACTGTAGGAGCCTTTTACAAGCAGGTGTAGCTACTCCCTGTTGGGTCCTGCCAGCACCCAACTTCCCACTTTTAAATCACTTCCATGCTGCTGGAAAGTTGGGATTTCTGAAAATCTTCATCTGGTAACACTGGTATTTATTAGTAGTGAATGTCAAACCAAGTCTAATTTGTGCTTCTAATAATATAAAATAAAAATACTGAATATTTTTATATTTATTAGATATATTATATGCATTATATATAAAATATATATAAGAAATAATGTGTGTGTATATGTATTTATTTATATTTTTAGACAGACTAAAATGCCATAAAAGCTGGCCATGTTTTAAAGCAGAAAGATAAGTGCTATTGGATTATTGAAAAAAACATACTGAATTCCTCAATTTTTACATATTTCCTGCATCTTGGTTGAACCCAGTAACCAGCCCAGTGTGATTTTTTCTCTGCCACCTCTTTCCTGTACATTACAGACCTCATCCTCCAGCTAATGCCAAAATTCCAGAGGCAGCTGGAGGCACTGCCAGCCAGCAAGATAAAATCAGGGAGAATGGAAAACGAGAATGGAAAAAAATCAGGGAGAATGTGCACACTCAGGAATGAAAAATTGGAGTGTGTGGTTTGTGTGTGCAAGGAGGAAAAAAAAAAATATATATATAAACAGAGCCTGATGTTTTCTGAATTGCTCTTTGCATGGAATGTGGCCTGGGAGCTCCTTTTTTTCAAGTTGTAATTATGGAAATGCAGGAGTTGGTTCATGTCTTCATGGAATCTTGGGGTGGGTTGGGTTGGAAGGGACCTTCAAGATTATCCAGTGTCACCTCCTGCCATGGCAGGGACATCTTCCACTGTCCCAGGGTGCTCCAACGTGGCCTTGGCCAATTCCTGGGGTGGCTCATCCCCAGATTTGCACCATTAAAACATAAACCATTTTCTATTTATATATATATATATTCTATAATCCTTACTAAAACACAATTAAGCCCCAAAAAGTCAACATAACAAAGGCAAATCCAGCTAGTGATTAATTATCCTATTTTAAATGTAGCTCTTTTCTCTAATTACTCCTTCCTTGCCTGTTTTGCAGCAGGATTCAGACCTGAAGCTCAGGACATCCCCTCTGGAAGGGCAGCCTGGTTTGTACTGCTACCAGCCCCAGGTGCAGCAGATGTATTGCTCCTCACACCCTTTCCATCAGGTCAGTGCACCAAAATCCCTGGATTTTTAGCACTCAAATGGTACAAAAATTGTGATAGTAAGATTTTTTTTTAAAGGATTTAAAAATATCTTTATATTTGTGGGTTGGCAGGGCCGTGTTTATATGCCTGCGTTCAGTTTATGAGGATAAGAGCTAAAAAGAACCACTGCTGAATGCAATTTAAGGTGGTCATTAAGAAAAAGAAGGAAAAAAACCCCAAAACTTGTACAAAAAACTTAGTACTGTATATTTATATTTTCACCTTTACACTCGAGAAACTTTGCTTTGGAGCCAGATAAACTTATTAATATAACTCTTGATATTTCAGGATCTTAATTAACTGTGCTTTAACTTCAGGGAAAAAAAAAAGCCCTAAATAGATTGTTGAAATTCAGATGAAACATAGAAAAATATTTTAAAGTAAAATTGGAACAGCAAAATGATGTTCACTTTCCTTGTGCTTGATGGCACACACATCTCTTTTGAAACCTTTTGCCTCTTACAATATCCCCAGAGAAAAATAATTCAGTTGAAGCATAATTGATAAATATAAATATAAATATAAATATAAATATAAATATAAATATAAATATAAATATAAATATATAAATATATAAATATATAAATATATAAATATAATTAATTGTGATATTGCACTTCCATCCTAACTTACAAGTCCATTATTGTTATTTGAGAAGAAAATGGGCCCAAAATGCTGCCAAAAAAAAAAGCTCTGTTGCAGATATAAACTATTGTGGATATATCACAGCTCCATATATCTCACTCACTATAAAAATGCCATTTTTGTGTGCAGAAACCTCACTTAACTTGTGAATTCATGGAATATTCTTAATTTCTTTATCCATTCTGCAGCAGGCACCTTTCCCCTGTCCCTGCTGATTTGATGCCAGTGCTGTTTCTATACTGATCACATTCCAAAAAGCTCCAGATTTAAAGCTCCTGGGAGCTGCCAGGCAAGATCCAACAGGCACCAAGAGGAAAATCCTCCATCCACCTGCAGCCTGGCACTGGGACAAATCTCTGAAGTGCAGCAGGTTTCTGTCAGACTTTTCAATACCTGTGCTTAATGTTCATATAGAAAAGGTCTGACAACGTGTTCTACTGCTCAGGAATAAAATAAAAATAAAATTTAAAAAAATATTAAAATAATTTTTAAAAAATAGGTAAAAGAGGTAGAATTGCTATCCCTGTGCCACGGTCACATGCTGGAAAATGAAAAGAGCACGGGATGCAGCTGAGAAAAGTGGAATAACTTCTCCTGCATGGAGCAGCCCCATTATTAACTCTTTACATTTCCAACTGGAATGGGGCAGTGCAAGTTCAATCCCTCCAAGGGAGTTCCACTCTGAGAACGGGCCCTGGAGTGAAGTTTCTTCCAACTGAGCCTCAGTTTTCATTAGAGGGATGAGAGGGATTCAGCCCCTTCATTAATTTTGTCCAGGTGATAAACCAGCCTCACCTTCCCCTTTGCTGGACACAACAAAACTGGTGACTCAGAAGAAAAATGAGTGATTCTTGACCCGAATGAGCAGCAGGGAGAGCTGGAGTCACCCACCCACCCACCATAAAACACCTTTCATGCCATGGGAGACTGTCAAACCAGCTCCAGCCTGTCATTCCAGCCCATTCCCCACCTCCCTTCCTCAAAAAGGACTCATGGAACCAATAAAACAGAAATAAAACGCCCAGGTCTGGCCTTTCATGCTGACATCAAAACCAGCCCTATCTTAGGGTTGTTTCCTTTCAAAGAGCCAGCCAGACCAATAAAAATCAGAATTATTGTAGGAATTTCCAGGTTTTCTAGTCTCGGGGAAAAATCTGCAGGCAGTGCACAAGGCAGGGAGCACCACACTGCACACAAAAATTAGTTCACAGCTGCTCTGGAGACTCTAATTGTGCCCAATATTTGGTTTAACAAGGCAGGACATGATTAATTATGTACATTTCATTTCTTTCACCATGCAAACAACTGAGTCTATTCAGTCTGGTTTTCCACATTCCATTTCTGGCAGTTCAGTGTTCGAAAAATAAAAGCAAACAGGCAAGGAAAGCTCCAGCAGCCAGCATAAAATTGCAGAGAATTTTCTGTAATTCTATTATTTTAATTATTCACAGTACAGAATAAATAAATTAACTGTGAATCTTCTGCTGTTTTAAGGGGACAAAGACCAAGAGCAATCAAAACTATTGATTAAAAAAAAAAAAAGGAATTTGAATTAGAAACTAAGATGTCCAAGGGATTTTTCCCAATGAGTTTTGAGAGTATTTTTCAGAGGAACTACACAAACCTCATGGCACAGGATTGCTGGAGCTGAGCAGTGAAACACCAGGACAGGGCTCAGCAACCTTTGAGTACCAGGGAAGGCATCCAGGTAGATTTTTTAATAGTATGTAACAGGACTCCTAATTTTGGCCATGTCCTCACCCCTGGCATCTGGAAAGATTCATCTGGAAGAGGCAGAAATTCCTCTTGCACAGAGCCCTCACAGAGCCAGCTGATGTTATCTTACCTAAACTGCATCATGTTCCTTTGCTCCAAAAAGTCTCTTTGCAGCAGGTTTAAATGTAATTTGAAGAAGAAAAAGGTGGAATATTCAGAAAAGAAAAAGAGCAAGTGCTGTGTTTTAAAAAAATTGAGAACAAATCTATAGAAACTCTGGTGCAATCCAGGCTGTCTGTGTGGATCATCTCATCTTTCACCTGGTTTTTTATCCTGGTGATCCCATCACTGTGGTGTGTCTTGGGACAGGCTTAGAGATCTGCAGGGGAGATAGGGCAGCATTCCTCAGGGAGCTTCTGTGGCTGGTCCAGGGCAAAGGCAAGGGTGGCATCAATATTGTCTGATTTTAGGAGTTCTGGCTATTCTTTTCAGCTTTCTGTTAGAGAAAAGGGAGTGGAAAAGTCACTTGAGGTGGTGGTTAACAGCACATGAACTCCTGGCTCTGTGGAGAAGTTTTTTCCTTGGATTTGACTGTGAAAGGAACAGACAGGGAACAGCCCAACAGCTTCAGCACAATACAGTGTGAAACCACCTCAAAAATGTCTCATATGCTGCTCTCCTGACCCCTGGAATGACATCACTGACTTATTCCGTAATAATACATTAATCTTAAATATATTCTGGTGCATCCATTAAAGTTCTTGTTGTTTGTTGGTTTTTTTCCTGCTTTGCACGGTAACAGCGATTTTAACAGAGATTTTGGGATGCTGTTTCCTTAGGAGCAGATATTATATGCTCTCAATTTTTGCCTTTCTGTACCCTCTCCACCTAAAGAAAAAAGCAACAAAAAAATAGCACACAAACCCAAATAAGGCTCAGGCAAAACCTCCCTCTTTCTTCCTTCATTTTTAGCAGCTTTACTTCTTCAGATGGTTTTTCTAATGTGAACATTGAAGTTTTTTATTCTGGTGGTTTGGGGTTTTAATGTCAATAAAATGTGTGCACGTTCAGGGGAGGCTGAGCAGGCTGAAATACTTCAAATGAGATGGCTGGAGGGAGATAAACTCTAGGGCTATAAAATTAAGAATTATCTGAGGACAATTAATAGGACACAGCTCCTCATGATTTTCACATAGCAGCCAGTAAAGAAGAAAAATACTTTTTGCCATACAATATCCTCAGAAATAATGCTGTTATTAGGGAATATTTTTGGGAGCTTGTTGCTAAAGGAAATAACATTTCTGCTGTCCCCCCAGTACCCCTCAGGAGGCAGCTACCCCGTGACTTACATCGCTTCCTCGCACTACCCCTACCAAAGGATTGCTCCTCAAAGCAGCCAAGAATCTCAGCAGCCTCTGTTCCCCAAACCCATCTACTCCTACAGGTAACCCAATCTTTTTCCAAGCCCTCACTTACAGGAAATACCCTGTTCACCCCTGGCCTGTTTCCAGCATCGTTTGCAACAACACGTTCGCTCTATTTGTCTTGTTCCCGGGGTGTTCTGTCCTGTCCCTGGGGATCACAAAACGTTCCAGGCTCTGGGGCCAGCCAAAGCACAGAGAAATTAAGTGTTGTAAAGCAGGGGAACAGTCTTGATTACTTCCCAAAGGAAAAAAAAAAAAAAAAAAAAAAAAAAAAAAGGTGAGACGTTTCTCTAATGCAAAATTTTAGCAATTTTTTCAGCAAGGAAATACCTTGAAAAAGTATCAGCTATGGCAGTTTAGCCCCCAAAGTGGATCAGACAATTAAATTTTAGTGATCACTCTATCACTGTCAGTTTGATTCTCTTTGTGGCCTCCACCAGTTTAAGCATTCAAACAAAGCCTGCAGTAATTACACACCAGCAGGATTTGAAGGTCTTGATTCTACTTTCTGTGTTCTTCTATTTTAAACCCAGGTTGGACCTTCTAGATGAGCTTGGAGAATTACCTGTACAAGTTAAGGAGATTGTTGTAAACAGCAGAGTGGAAACATAAAATCATCTTTGTATTTGTGCTATGGCAGTGAAAGTCAGAGTCATTACACACAGTGCAAAAAATGATCTATTTTTGGTTGTGAGGAGTCAGGCAGAAGTGGTTAAAATGCCTTTTTTTCTCTCCCTAAAGCATCCTGATCTTCATGGCTCTCAAAAACAGCAAGACAGGGAGTTTGCCAGTCAGCGAGATTTACAATTTCATGACGGAACATTTCCCTTACTTTAAGGTGAGTTCCACAGGGATGGGGAGGGGAATCTCCCTCTAAGCTTATGTGTCAGCAGAGGGAATAAGGGATGGGATTCCAGCTATGAAAAGGGATTATTTCTTAGGAGATTAATACCAAATCAATTGCACACTCCATACTCTCATGATCACAAGCTACCCAGCCTTTTGCATCTAGGCAGAAATGTGAAATGTGGTCATATTTAACTCAAAAAGATATTAGGAACTGTTCCAGCTGTGAGGTTGGGTGTGTAACAGTGACCATTCCTCACCAGCAGCCCATAGAAAGGGTAAATAATTTTAAAAACACATTCACTGCTTCCTCTCAGATCTCAAATACAGGCAGAACTGGTCTTGTAGCTTCCTTTGCCACCAGACTGGTGTGGAAGCAGAGGATTCCAGGTTATTTCACTCCATCCTGGAGCTGGGATATTCATCTTGGGCAACAGCATCCCGTGCATGCCCTGTACACAGAAAAATGTCATGTGTGATAATGGCACTAAGCTCATAATGACACGGTGAGCTGGGGAGGGAAAGGGTGGATGGTTTGCAGCAGCACTGCTGAAATTTGGATCCCTGCTAGGAGGGAATGGCTCCTCACACTTGGAATTTCACTGGGAAGTGCTCAGTCAGCACAGGGATCCAAGAGCAGGAGGATTAGTTAAGGTTTTTGAAAGAGCTGTAATGGAATCATCAAGTGCTGCTCCACTCAGGGCTTTTTTTCTGCTGATTCTTCACAAGCACCTCACTGAAGTCCACAGTGGGTGAGCTCAGCTGTGAGCAAGGCCCAAAAATGAAAATAAAGCCAGTGAGTCTGTCCTGTTTCCTATTGCAAATAGCCCTGCAGCAATCAAGGCAAATTTAAAACAGCCACAGCAAGGCAGTTCAAACATTTGTAATAAAGGAACACTGTGAATAACAAAAAATAAATGTTCCAATACAATTTTGCAGTGGTTTTGGACACTGAGGACAAATAGAGCATACAAAAAAAAAAAAAAAAAAAAAAAAAAAAAAACACCAAAAAGAAAAGAAAGAAGATTGAATATGTCAGCAATCAGAGAAAAATACACATTATCACAGAGGAAGAACTGTCAGGATCCACACTCCTGTACTCCCTTCCAAAGGAATCACTAACTACTCCATCATTTGTTACAAGCAAGAGAAGGGAGAAAAAAATAAAGAAATCAACCATTAGAAATCCCAGTGGAATCCACAGGAAAATAGCAAGAGTTTCAAGCAGAGAGGTGGGACTATTACTGATAAATTTTACAGGCATGTTTATTCATCAGATCAAACTGAAATGAATTCTCTGTTGTCGTACAACACAATTGATGATAAAATTAATCAGCAGATTTAAACCAAATGCTGCTGCTGCCAGCATGGGCAGAATCCCTCAGACTCAGGACTGTGGCTCTGCCAGGTGTCACCATCCTGGTCCTTCCTGGTTTTTCAGAGCCTCATGTCTTTTTTTAAAATTTATTTTAAAACTGATGAGAATGAGGTTACTGCTGTAGGAAAAGAATAGTGCAGGTGGTACTACCCAAGCATTCCCTATTTTGTAGCAGCTTTATTTTTGCATTTTACTTAGAAATGCCACCAAATGTATTTGACTGTAACATCCTTAAAATAACCAGTGGAAAATGAGCACTCAGATATTACATTTACAGCCATCAATCCCTGTCTGCCTCTGGTCTTTACAGCAGAGAATTACCAAAATATGGCAAAAATTAATATCCTCCATATTTCCTGGTTTTGGAGAGTCTTCAGCAAAATAAAATCACATAAAAATCAGGAAAGAACATTTTGCTGCTGATATCACTCACTAAAAAGCAGGATACAACAGGGAGAGGGGAAGAAATTTAGGCTGGAGAGAAAAAGAAAGCAAGTGCACACAGAGCCTTGCTGGGAGACATGACAAGCTGAGTCAAATTAACTGGGATTCGCTGCCACAGCAAATTTAGTTTCTATGATGCAACAATCTCATTTCTAGTTGAAACAGAGCAATCCAACTCCTACGTCCTTAAAAAAAAAAAAAATCTACGCAGCTAAAGTTGAATTAGTCTTTGATGTACCTCTCCCTTCTCTTGAGACCTAGATTTAAAGAGACAGGGTTTTGCAAGATCACTGAACTCTTTAAACTTCAAGAGCTGGTCAGGATCAGTGGGGCTGGACAATAATTTTCTTTTCTTTTCTTTTTTTTTTTTTTTTTTTTTGTAGTGATTAGTGAGTCTAACTAGAAAGCTTTAATCTTTTTAATTGGAGTTATTGCCAGTGGGCCAAGGGGGCAGAAAGGTCAGTGGTGTGATGGGAGGGCTCAGGTGTTGTAGATGTGGCACCTGGGGACATGGATTGGTGGTGGCCTTGGCAGTGTCAGTGGCTGGACTCGGTGACCTCAGAGGGTTTTTCCCACCTCCGTGATTCTGGGATTCCCCAGCTGATTTTAGGATTCTGCACTCGCATCCCCAACGTGCTGAGGGCAGGGATTGCCAAAATCAGCCACAGCAAGGAGATTCCAGCTACTCAAGAGCAACCCCAGCAGCAAAAGTTTGTTCATTTAACAATCACACCTGCTTTAAAAACTGGTGTTTTTTCCTCTTAACACACTCAGGGTGTTAAGCCCTACCTGGGCAAATGAATTCTCACACCTCAGCAATCCCAAATTTAACACAAGAACCTGCTCAGCTCCCGGCAGCAGCCTCCAAAATCAATCCATGTACTTTTTGCTCGTACAGTTTCTAAAACCAAATTCTAATTTACACCCCCACACGTTCTGAAAACCTCTGAGAAGCCCGTGCCGCTCCCATCTGAGCAGAAACACCAATTATCCTGTCTAGGTACACAGGGCTGTGGGGAGCCTGTGTGCAGGGCAAGAAACAGGAATATTCTTCCAGGTCAGCTTGCTCAGTAGCTGAATACACAACTTACCTGGGAGGAACAGTTTTATTCACTTTTTGAACTACCAGGAAGTTACTTGAATATTATCTTCAAGGGAGAAAAAACTGATTTGTCATGTTTAGTATGACCCTGTGGCAGAAAAGGTTTTAAAGGTTTGAGTTCTCTTCTCTTCTCTTCTCTTCTCTTCTCTTCTCTTCTCTTCTCTTCTCTTCTCTTCTCTTCTCTTCTCTTCTCTTCTCTTCTCTTCTCTTCTCTTCTCTTCTTCTCTTCTCTTCTCTCTTCTCTTCTCTTCTCTTCTCTTCTCTTCTCTTCTCTTCTCTTCTCTTCTCTTCTCTTCTCTTCTCTTCTCTTCTCTTCTCTTCTCTTCTCTTCTCTTCTCTTCTCTTCTCTTCTCTTCTCTTCTCTTCTCTTCTCTTCTCTTCTCTTCTCTTCTCTTCTCTTCTCTTCTCTTCTCTTCTCTTCTCTTCTCTTCTCTTCTCTTCTCTTCTCTTCTCTTCTCTCTTCCTTCCTGTTACAATTTGTGTTGTCTCACCCATGACACAGGATAGTGAAATGCTGACATCAGGTGGGCTGAAATGGAAGAAGCTCTGATGCTCTGAAGGGAAAAATAGTTTCTCTTTTAGTAAATAGTATGTATTTAATCCCACACCTATTTATTTTTTTTTAATGAAGAAAGTGAATATTAAATTTGACCCTCATTTCATTAATAAGGCTTTTCATGCCTTAATCCACACAATAGTTCTTTACAAGCTGCAAAACAACAGGTTTTACGTTCCTTATAAAAGTATGTACAAAAAATTAAATCCTGATAAAATAATTTCATCGAAGTATGTTCACTGTCTGCCTGGTGAAAGCCAAAATGGGCTCAGATCCATTTATAAACGATGGTCTAAGAGGAAATCTGCTGGACTGGGCAATGATTAAAGAAATTATCAAACTATCAAAAATCTGGCTTTCTATGAGAGAAGGATCCTAGTAATAAAAGGCAAAAATGGGGAAAAAATTTAATTAATCCAAGGGAAATTCTAATTTTTAACATTTTTTAAAAGTCTGTGGAAACCCACATTTATTTCTCGTGCTCTCTGTTCAATAATTCTCTGCTTGATACAAACAGTTATGATGACATATTTGCATCCATGAATATTAATCAATAGCCACAGACAACTTCCCCACATTTCAGAGAGCTGTTTCATTTCCTGCAATTCTTATGAGAAATTGAAAAGAAAATATGAGGATTTTTTGGCAAAAAGAAAACAATCATTTTAATGATCCAGTTTAAAGAACCTTCCAGCTTCTACTGCTGAGTTAAAAGTAAATGCAGAGCACAGAGATGAGTGATCAGTTGTGGAAACCTGTATCTCATCTGGAGGGCTTGTGATTAAACCATTGGTTATGTAAATGGCCAGCACACAAAATTACACCTACAGTAGCATGAGAAATCCCTTTGAAGTCTGCCTGGACACTGAATTTGAGCCCAGGTAGCACATAGTAGTTTAATGAAGAGTTGGAAATATTTCTGGGTGTTCTAATATAGATTCTGATCGATTTCTGGTTAGTTCCAGAACACGAATTTTTACACACTTAATTCTTGTGATGTGTAAAGTCACTCTTACAGATCCAGCAGGTCTCTGACAACCTTTTTGCTTAGAAGATCAGTTACTATTTTATCTGATCCCTCTCTTCCCACACAACATGACTGTAACATTTTTGTGGCTTCCCTCTAACGTACAAGTTTCTCACTGCAGAAGGTACAAACTTAAATAGCATTTCTTGTAACCTCACCAGTCAAAACAGAGTTATATATATATACACACATTTTTAATTTTATTTTCTTTTTTAGCATGAAATTCTGTTCTTACATTGGGTTTGTTTCTCCAGACAGCTCCAGATGGTTGGAAGAATTCCGTGCGCCACAACTTATCTTTGAACAAGTGCTTTGAGAAAGTTGAGAACAAGTCAGGGAATTCTTCTCGAAAGGGCTGTTTGTGGGCTCTGAATCCAGCCAAGATTGACAAGATGCAGGAGGAGCTTCAGAAATGGAAGAGGAAAGACCCAGTTGCTGTGAGGAAGAGTATGGCAAAGCCAGGTCAGTCATTTGTTGGTGTTTTAGCTCTCAAACAGTTCTCCCCAGAATTTTTCTTTTCACCAAGATCCGTAAGATAATTTAAACATGATTTAGGAAAGCACTTAAGGATTTTTTCCTGGTTGGCAAACCAAGTAAAAATTTTTAAAAGCAGAATTAAAGTAGACCCAGTTTTGTTGGTGTTTCCAAATTCACCAAGAAAATATTCTCTCTTGACATTTCACTAAATTTTAAGATAAAAAGCAAGGTTGGATGGGGATTGGAGCAACCTGGTGTAGTGAGTGGTGTTCCTGTCCATGGCAGGGGGGTGAAATGAGATGATTTTCAACATCCCTTCCAAACCAAACCACTCTGTGACAAAAAGAACACTGAAATACGAAATACCAAATAAAATCTGAGATTAACTGCTAAGCATCCAACCTTTAAACCTAAAAGTGGAATTCATTACGTACTCACGTGGTAACGATAATTTAAAAGAAAACCTTTCAGGCTTTGGAGCTTTAATACATAAGAACTAAGGCTTCTGTTTGCCGTTTCCTGAGTGACACCCCAATTCCTGCTGCAAGCTATGCAGGGATAAATCAGCCATGGACTTTCCCTTGCCATTCCCTGAGTGACATCATGTCGCTGTCGAGGCAGGACGGGAATGAGCAGACTGACTCTGAAGGCTGCTGAGAGTAAAACTCCAATTTATTCAAAATACACTGCTCTTTTATAGAAAATTTTGCAAAGGCCAAATCCATTGGTTCTGAAGTGAAAACAACTCACAGCATTGGTGCAGAGTGCTTGACGCACAGTGATAGAACTTAACTATAAACAATGTGAAAAACAAGAGAGATAAAGAATTATTTACATTCTCTCCAGCTCTTTCTCAGGCGTCTGCCTGGCTAGAAACTCTCCGTTTCTTTCTTTGACTGAATCTGAGTCCCACAACACCACAATTCCTGCTGCAAGCTACGCAGGGATAAATCAGCCATGGACTTTCCCTTGCCATTCCCTACCACAATTCCTGCTGCAAGCTATGCGGGGATAAATCAGCCATGGACTTTCCCTTGCCATTCCCTACCACAATTCCTGCTGCAAGCTATGCAGGGATAAATCATCCACGGACTTTCTCCTTGTTTTGCAGAAGAGCTTGACACCCTGATAGGCGACAAGAGCGAGAAGCTGCGCTCCTCCCTGGCCTCCTGCAGCCCAACGGGCGCTGTGGGTTCCTCCCTCTCCAGGCATATGGCAGCGCAATCCCATTCCTTGTGCGAGCCCTCGCTCTCCTCGGGGGTCCCGCAGGGATTCCACGGCATCCACGCCCCGGCAGCTCTGCAGGCCAAGAGCCCCCTGCCCGCTTTGCTTGGGGGGCAGCAGCCCAGCTGCTACACATCCCCCCAGGGCTTCCCCCAAATCCCCACCGCGCTGCTGCAGCACACGCCCGACCCTCCGAGCCTGTTCTCTGCTGGGGAGGCTCAAAGCCAGCTCCGGACTCAGCCCAGCATCCCTCAGGATTCCCCAGTGCCGGCTCAGAGCCCCCCGAGCTGCGGGATGAAGATGCTGCCCGAGCATTCCCCGGCCAGGACGGTGCAGGACACGCTGCTGCAGGAGGGAGACCTCAGCAATGACATCGATGCTCTTAATCCATCCCTCACTGATTTTGATCTCCAAGGTAAGAGTTTGAGGTGTTTTTATCTTGGAGAGTCAGGTTTGTTATCTCCCACCCCGTCCCATCCCATCCCACCCATCCCATCCCATCCCATCCCATCCCATCCCATCCCATCCCATCCCATCCCATCCCATCCCATCCCACCCCATCCTTCCCCATCCTTCCCCATCCTTCCCCATCCCATCCCATCCCATCCCATCCCATCCCATCCCATCCCATCCCATCCCATCCCATCCCATCCCATCCCATCCCATCCCATCCCATCCCATCCCACCCCATCCCATCCCACCCCATCCCAACCCACCCCATCCCAACCTCCACAAAATCCATTTCTATCCCTGTGATATTACACACTTCTATTCACGCTACACACCCATCATCACAATTCCATCATTCCATTTTGGAAACCTTCTCCACGGCCTCTGGTCAAATGCAGTGTTCTCTTGTGGATCTGTGTATTTCGGCACAGAAAGTTGAAAATTCTCAGCATCCAAGATTCCAACAAATCTGATAACCAACACGGGTTTGGTTATTAATATTATTGTTATTGTTGCTATTATTGTTGTTGTTGTTATTTTGTTGTTGTTGATGTTGTTGTTGTTGTTATTGTTGATATTGTTGCTATTAGTATTGTTATTGATATTTATAATGTTATTGTTATTGTTATTGTTATTGTTATTATAGGGAATCTTTGGGAGGAGCTGAAAGACGACAGCCTGGCCGTGGATCCCCTTGTCCTCATTTCATCATCCCCGCAGTGTTTTCCCTCGCACTGCCAGCTGGAGAGCGGCGGGAGCGCGCCGGGGAGCGCGGCCGGGAGCGCGCACGGGAGCGCGCCGGAGCTGCAGCTCACCACGCTCTACTCCGCCTTCATGGAGCTGGACACGGTGTCCCCCTCGTACCTGAGCAGCCCCGGCTCCAAACCCATCGCCCTGATGTGAAGCACAGCCCCAAAGCATCGCCCTGACCATCGCACACCGCCCCGCCTCAGCGATGGCACGGGAATGCCAATTTTATCTTTTTTTTTGTTTTTTTGTTTTTTTTTCCTCCAGAACTTGCCCGCAGGATATGTAGCTTTACTATGATGATTTTCTACAGACAGATATAAAAAAAGAAATAGAAAAAAAAATTAAATATTATTTAAAGAGGATATGGTTAACAGCTGAACTTGTCAACGCCATTTGATCAAGCTACTCATCTTCGTCTTCCAGAAATAATAGGAAAACAAATTCTTGACTTTTTTCCTTTTTTTTTTCTTTCTTTAACAAAAGCTGCTTGCAAATGAGCACAGAACTCACAGCACACAATTTAACTTATTTCTTGGAGCCACTGATGGCAACAACATCAACCACAGACCACTCAAAATATAAAATCTACCTATTAAAACATTTATAGTCCCCTTGAAAGAAGTTCTGGGTTTTGGTAAACGTGAACTGAAAATTCTGCAAGTATTAGAAGATAAAGGACAAGCTGCTGACAGACTAAACCAAAGCAACAAATATACTTCAGTGGAAAATATCAAAGTTTTACTGTATTTAAAAAGAAATTTTAAACTCTGCTTTTTTAATAAAAAAGAACAAAACTATTTAGTAGAATTTTTACTTGGCTGGAAATTATTCCCATTCATGCCTCTTATCTTTTGCCACATAAACTAAATATTAACATTAACTATTAAGACATATTTTTTTATGGTAATAAAAAAAAAAAAAGAGAGAGAAATTGCAGTTGGCCAAATCCAGACAGCAACTGTGTTTTAACTGATACCTCCAGTGGGGTTTCTTGTGATGCTGAACCAAATCTTGCAGTAGGTTCCTACTGTGAGCTAAACTTTTAGGGAGAAGGTTTTTCAGGAACAACCTTCTCCCTCTGATTTTCCACAAAGCTGGAATAAAAAAGTAGAAAAATAGAATAAATTAGAATAAAACCATTTTGGTTTAAGTGATGCAATATAAACCCAGAGTAAACTGGAGAAGGAACTTAACAGCACTATAGAAAATAGTCTAGAAACACAAAAATATCCGGTTGCCTGGAGAAGCTGTGGCTGCCCCATGCCTGGAAGTGGCCAAGGCCAGGTTGGACAGGGCTTGGGACAATGTGGGACAGTGGAAGGTGTCCCCTGGCCATGGCAGAGGGTGGCACTGGGTCATCTTCAAGGTCCTTTCCGACCCAACCCCTTGTGGCATTCTCTGATCTCTATTCACAGATGATGTAAACTCAGACCAAACCAAGGAGGTTAAAACTTGAATCAGCTTGGGTGATTTAGAGCAGGAGAAAGCAAGGAGGGATTCTCAAGGATGGAACAAAGGAGATGGGATTGTTAAAATAAAGACACAGAGGTTTAATTGGCCACCAGCAAGGTGGGAGCTCTGCCCAAACCAAGGCCTAAAGTTACACCCTCACCTTTTCCTACTAGTCCAGACTTAAAATCAGATTAGGGGCAGACGGATAAAGGAGATTTAGGAGGAACACACGTGATGCAGCTCTGTAATCCCTCACGCAACCACCCAGAAATCCTCACTTGACTCCAACTCCTCTTCCTGCAAAGAGAATAAGGAGCAGAAGAAATGCAGCCAGGTTGGCCAAGCTGCTCAAGGAAAAAAAAAATACCAGCAGGATGAGAGTTATGCAAACATATTAGAGCTGGGGAAATCAGGTTTTGGCCATCATAACACTGGGATATAGAAATACAGAAAAACTTGAAATACAGAAAAACTTAAGTATGACACATTATTAGAGATGTGATTATGGTAAGTCTAAAGCATGTAGTGAGTATAAATCTGCTAAACAGTATATAACTATAACTATATATAACTATAATGATAATATAAACATATATAAATAATATATAAATCTCTTTATAAATAGAATTATAAATAGAAATATGTGTGTATATGTATATATATAAAGCACAGTATGTGTATATAAAATACTGTATATTAACAGAAAATTATATGTACATATAATATTATATGTACATATAAAATATATTATAAACAGTGTGCATGCATATATATAACACTAAATATATATTAAAAACACAGTATAAATACATATATATTTTTTGAGTGCAATTTAAGAGTCACCAATTTACAACTAAATACACAGAGTATTTAGAGTAGTTATTATTAGAAGGATATTATTATCCTAAGTGCCTTTAAAAAAAAAATCACATTTTAGTCAAATAAATACTCGTTTTAATACAGACATGCATTGAAGAAAAGCAAAACCAAAGCAGCCCCTGTGCTCAGGCACTGTTTCTGTACCCCTGTGGGGTTGAACACACAGCTATTCTGATGCCTTAAAATATGTCACCATCACTCTTAAGCCAAAAATAATAATTGGTAAATATTGTTCTCTAAGAATATAGACACAGGTCTAGCTCATGGAGGGCTGGGTTCCCTCAGCTCTGTGTGTTTGTGAGCTCTGACTTCAACAGAATTTCCCAGTTTTGGAGCAGGACTCCCAGTGCTGGGCAGGACCAAGTGTCCAGACCCTCCAAATTCCTCAAATTCATTTCAGCCACTTCAATCCCAATGGGAATTCTGCACACTTCCATCCTCAAGGAATTTCCAGATAAAACCCTTTCCATTTTGAAGGTTTTCTCTGCAAACACCAAAGTGTTGGCACATGGATTTTCTGAAACATTTTCAGCACCCCAAGGGAGTGAGATGCTCAGTGCTCCATGACTTTCAGTCACTATTAGCACCAAATTCTTATTAAATCCTTTTTAAACTCCTTACAAATTCCCCTCCTGAGTCACACACAGTGAACCACACCATGGGCACAACACCACGGGCTTTTGCAAGATATTTCTGGCAGAGGGAGCCAGTGTTTTATATTTGGTAGAGGGAGCTAACAAAATAAAAAACATGAGAACACACCAGAGGAAGTGCAGGGGGATGGTTCATCGCTCTAAAAACACAACAGAAATGTAAAAAAATATTTATTACTAAAGCAAATCCATGGCATGTGAAGTAAAAATCCATCAAAACTGACAGTAGGAATCTTGACAACATTATCAAGCAGAGTTAAATATCTGTGAAACTCCACATTCACAGATTTGACAGCGAAAAAAGCAAAACTGCTTTTTCTGAGTCGAAGATTTATAATTTACGGGCACAACAACCCATCCATGATTCGTTAATTCCTGTGTGTCACTCGTGTCCTCTGTGGCCTCAGGCTCAGCCATTCCCTCAGAGGCACCAATATATTCCATGCCTGTGACCACACACATGATCACAAGCTGGAGAGGGAGGAAGAAATAAAGAAATCAAACTATCAGACTTAATTATATAATTTTTTTTGGTAATGAGTCTTTGAAGAATGATCAGACATAAAGAACTAAAGGGAAAAAAAACACTTTAACATGTTTTTTCTTGTGCTTTCTGGAGTTTCTTGTATCCACACCAGAGGTTTGTCCTCCCTTTATGAAGTTCTTTATTCAAAGAACCTAAAAGTATTTTCTCTGATGCATTCCATATTTAATGGAATTAAATTAATGGTTGGACATTTCACAGAAGTTATAAGAAAAGTCCTGTAATAACTTTTATTTTAAAGGGTTCTTATTAAGATAAACAAATAAACACCAGTGCAAGTTATTAACTAATATAAATTGTCTGGGCTTGGATTTCCCTTCCTGCTCCACTTCAGGCTCCTACATCTGAAATTTTATTGTCTTGCTTCAGTTTAGCATTAGTGATTCTGGTAGACACAAAACCAATTCATTGAAACTCATTCTTCATATGGGTTCATGAGAAAAGTTATATTATAAATTACAATTCCAGAACAATTACTAAAGAAAGGTTTAAAATTATGTTTATTTAACTACTTTTATAAAAGTTTATATATAAGAATAACCCTCAGCTTGTGCCTTATTTTGGACTTTTGAAATAACTTGACATACTGATAGCACATAAACATTTCCTTAGAGCTGGTGACACCTTATTTTGTACCTACCATTAAATCAGTTTTTTGCAGACACTGCAAATCTGTTTCAGAAACTTTAGAATTATGTTCCATTTTAAGCAGCACTCTGAAAAACAGGGAGAAAGAAAGGAAAGAATGAAGTTTTCCCAGTCCAAGGCTAATGCTGTCTGCTTAATCAGCCTCTTCCGAAGAGATTATGCAAACCTGTCTTGGAAAAAAAAAATCTTAAGTGTAATTAGCATAAAACTATCTTATTACCAAACAGAAGAAAGTGCTCACAGCTGCCCTCTCCAACATATGATTAGGAAAAAATTGCACTCTAAAGTTTAGGGTTTATTAGCTTAACCTTTTTTTTATTGCAGGTTTCATTTAAACTTCAAAACATTCAAATAACCATTTATATAGGAATTATGTTTTGAAGCTCTTTTCTCTTCTCATGGGGCCAAATTATTACAAAACATCTGCCTCCCATATTTGCATGTCCTTGGTATGAAAGCATCACCACTGAACATTCACTTGCTTTTGTTGGGATAGGAACTGATCTGAGGAGAATTCTATCTGCACAATCTTTCAAACCCCTGGCACAGCACTGAGCTGTTTAAACCCAGCAGTGATTAACTGGAATTACAAAACAGATAAAACACTGAATACCACATCAGCTTTATTGTACACAAAGCTTCAGAAGTGCAACTGATTTACTGGCACTTTCAAACAAATTTAAACTACTGGAATAAATATGTGGATTCCAGAATTTAGTTTACCAGGGCTGCTGCTCCATGTTTGTACTTCAGGCTTCCAGATCTGTGTGTAAATGTTTCTGTTTAGACTACTGGATATCAAAACCAGCAAACACTTTCACATGAGCTTTTCCTGACCTCCTAATTCATTTCCAGTCTTACACAAACAAACCCAAAACCCTCAGTAGTGGAAGATAAGCTCTCTGGTTCACTGTGCATTCCCTTCCTGCAGTGGTAAAAATGGAAGCTTTGAAGAAGCATTTTCCATCTGTGGACACAGCAAAAATTGAATTGACAACTACTAAAATAATGAATGATGGAGTTGCCATAAAACAGAATTTAAATGCAGTCTGTGTAGAAGCAGAAAAGGGCTAATTTTTAGTTCAAATAAATAAACACACACAAAGAATATTTGTTTGCATGGAAAATACTGAAATTACTGAAAATTACAGCAGTGGGAAGATCCTTAATGCACATGGCACTTATTTCACCAGGGGTTCTTATTCAAGCAGCACATTGATGACAAGTACCAGGTATTCGATATAATCATAATAAATGCTGACTGAAACTGATGATTTTTAGGTCTTTTTTTAATCATAAAATCATAGAATTATTTCGGTAAGAAAGGACATTCAAGATAATTTTGTCCAACACCTTCCACTGAGCCAGGTTGCTCCAAGACTGAGGTTGAGCCACAACTTCCATGAGCTTCACCACCCTCAAAGCTAAAAATTTCTCCTTCATATCCCATCTAAGGCAAAAATATCTCCCTCATATCCCATCTAAACCTCTCCTCTCTCAGTTTGAAGCCATTTCCCCTTGTCCTGACTTCCCAAAATCCCCATCCCAGCCCTTTTGGAGGCTCTTTGGACAGATAAAGACCACAATAAATTCACCTTGGAGCCATTTTGCTGCTTGGATGGATGGGAGAATCCTGCCCTGGATCGATCCAGCTGTGACCTGGGCAGAGGAGAGGCCAGAGAAACCATTAAAGATTTATTCCTGCCCAAACCAATTCAGCCTGGCTGTGCAGCAAAGGCCCTCGTTAATCACATGAATTAATTCCTTACTCACGCCATCGGCACCAGGAAATTCATTCCAGCAGCAGCAGCAGCCTAGGCTGGGTGGGTGAGGGAAAAAAACCCACTGAGAGCTCAGGCAGAAGCACATCTGTCCCAAAAACCACTGGAGAAGGGATTTCACATTATTTGAAGACAGATTTCATGATCTTACTTGTCCAGGAAGCTGCTGAAGAATTTAAATTCAAGTGCATGAATAGGCCCAGCGTGTTTGGGCCTGCTGGAGGCACCAGGCCTGAATGATCTCTTAAGGCTTTTATTATACTTGCCTTTCCCTCTAGAACAACTTCAGAACATAAAAAAAACCTCCTAAAATATACAGAAAAATATTTTCTACCAAATATCCAATTAATCTAGGAGAAAACTGCAATGTTTAGTTGGCATTAAAGGCATAAAAAAGCGCAAATTGGAAATGATCTTTCTTATTTCAATATATCCTACAGAAATTTGAACATTGGCTGAAATAATTGCTTTTAAAAGTTATCTGAGTGGTGACACTTGTGTTTCTTTCAAGCATCTCTTGCCACAGGAAGAACAGCCCTGTGTTTGTCAGCTGCAAGAAACATTTCTGCACTGTTATTTCAAATTTAGGTGATGAGCAATGCCAGCTGATGAATTCCAGTGGGGAAAGACATCTGACATCATTTAAAATCAGACATCTCGGTGCTGAAGAGCCTTGGTGTGTCTGGGGCAATGTTATTCCTCTGAACTTGTGCTCAGGCCTCTCTGCCACTTTAATTTTAAGGGTTACAGTGAACCCTCTGTTCTCCTGACTTAGGAGCCTGTGTAGACATCAAAGCAGGCAGCAGGTTTAATTAGACACTTAATTATAGATCAGGATGGTAAGGAATGCATTTGGGAAATAAAAACATGATTTCCAACCCCAGTCAAATGCCAGAGAACAGAGCAACACTGGCACAACATTGGTGCACTGTGTGCTTCACGTAACTCATGAAAAACAAAGTTTGGGTAGGAGTTCTGGGTTTGGTGTTTGGTTGGTTTTGGGTTCTCTTTATCAAAATAGATTCTAAATATTTTTAGCTTTCAGGTCTGACACGTACTTCTCTGGGCAACCTCTGCCAGGAACTCACCACCCTCACAGGGAAGAATTTCTTCCTCATATCTAATTTAATCCCAATTGTTATTCCCCTCACATGGATTTATCTTCTCTTTCCAAAGGAAAGGAAGAACTGAAGGTGTTTGGAACTCTTCTCTCCCGTCTGTGTTATCTCCCTTTCATAAAGTAAATTAAATTATGTGTTTTCTCTATTGCTGTTTGTAAAATCCCTGCCTGTTTTTATTTCTTGCCACAGATTACTTTCATATGCAGCTTCATTAACATGGTTTATGCCCTCCACTAGAATAATTAAATTATTATTAAATAAACCAGGCCTTTGTTATATAAGGTCCCAAGTCAGTTTTCAAAATAATGGCTGGGAATCATCCAACTGCAATTATGTTCTACCTACCTAAATTCTCTTTGTAGTTTTAATTAAAATACATTATCCAGGATGATTTCACCCCCTATTTTAAGTCCTTGTACAGCACTGGTGAAGGGAAAAAATAATCTCTGTAAAGGAATTTCTCTATTTTGTTGACTCAAATAGGGAGAATAAATAGTTTTGGGTTATCCTACCATGCAATGAGAGATTTCAGTAACCTCTAAAATTGTCTTTCAAGTAAGATCTATTGTGTTAGAGGGAAAAATTGGGAAATTTGGAGTACTTTATCACTGAGAAGTGTTCCTCCTACAAGTGAAAAACGTTAAGGGAATGCAAGGCAGAGATAGATGAATGCCCTTGAACAATGACAAATAAAATAGAAACATGGGGTGAACACCTAAGATTTGCCACAATAACTCAGCAGCTGAGAAATGCCAAAGGAAATAAGAATGTGAGGAGAAGCAGAGAACACCTCCAGAATGATTAGGCATAATTATTAATAAATGAGGCTGACAAACCAGCTAAAGGGTTGGGGGGGGAGCACTGGTAATGCAGTGTATTTTTGGCAGACATTTAACACTGTGGAGTTTTCATGGGAATAAAAATCTTTTTTTTTTTCTTTTAAGGTTCTTTGGAATCTCAGAAGACTTCTAAGCAAGTCCAGGTATTCAGAGATTGTTTAACCTGCTTTATTAGTTATTAGCACTGATTTTGGTAGGTTTTGTTTTGGTTTGGTTTGGTTTGGTTTTTTTTTAGATATTCTGTGAATCAGCACCCAGTCCTTGCAAGAATTCCAAGTCACAATCCAAAAGGGAAACCCTTGTATTAATAAATTCCTCACTCAAATTCCAGCACACAACAATGTCCTGCAGGATATTGTGTCAGTGAGGAGTCCCCAGGAATTCTGTGGAATAAAATTAGTTATAGAAAATATTTTCTAAGAGTTATTCTGCCCCAGAGAAACACAGAGGTGTTCCCAGGAATTTCTGAATAAAATATCTAAGCCACCAAGATGGAAGTACCACAGTAAAACTCACTTCAGCCCAAGCAGCTGGTTCAGCTTTAGTCAATAAGGCAGAGACAACAATTTTCACATTAATTTTAAACTTGATTCTCCAAAGTGCAGCCAGAAATCCTTCAGAAGCACAACTTGGTGCATAAGAGTGATCCAGGGAACTCTAAAGTTCTCTTAATGTACTTTGAAACTAATTTATTTTTCACATGTTTCATTTTTTCAAATTCTCAAGTTGACTTTCAAACTTGCAATTTTTTTTTAAATCCCAGCCTGATACACAGCTGTGATCTGTGCAACTCCAAAGTCCCATTAATGTAATTGATACCAATTTATTTTAATTACACCCCAAGACATTTTCCCAATCTGAAAGTTAAATCCCACTTGAACACCTTTAATGTGATGGTTTTACCCACAGAATTACCCAAGCCACTGCAGAGTCTTTCCATCAATCACCAAAAAAAGAAGCTGCTCACACACATTTCCACAAAAACTGGAGTTTGAATATTGATGGAAGAAATTTGAAATGAAAGTTTGAAATTTTTTTCCACAGAAATATTTAAATAAAATAGACAATCACTCTCGTTTCTAGGATCAATAATTTATTTCTTTTTTTTTTTTATTTTTTACATTTTGCAATTTGTTACAGGAGAAGAAACACTTGCTAATGGAAGTGACATGTTTTTGAACCATTTTCCAAGGTAATGTAAAAGTTAAGCATATTCCCTAGGATGCACATGAATGACTAAGCTGCCAATATTAAACCAATTGAAGCAAGTGCAGTCCCTATTTAAACCTTGTATAAATTAAGGACTCTCCTTCTCCTACAGGAAGACTAAATTGTAGCATCTAATTTTCTTTTTTTTTTAATCCTGAAGTCTCAATCTTTTCTCTCTCTCTACTTAATCCGCAAAAAGTCAAACAGGCTGAAGCCAAAGCCACAGAACAGATTCTGTGCCAAGGTTCCTTCTATTCCTGGTGATCTCCTCAGTTCCCCCCATCCCAAAAAGGAAACAAAAGACTCCCAGTTTTCTGAACACCAGTTTCTCTGCATGACAGTGCATTGCATTGCCAAGGATGGACCACAGTGGATGTTCTCCTAGCAAACAAATCACTACCAAGGTACAAAGAATTAGAAATTAACTCAGTAAAAATGCTCCTAACGTTTTCCCAGTGGTATAGTAACCAGAATCCTACTTTCCTTCCACAAAAAATAGATTTTTTTTTTTTATAAATACATTTTAATACAGACAATTCTGTTTCTATGCCAAGAAAAAAGAAGAAGTCACATTCAAACAGGTTTGCTGGGTGTATTAAGATACAAGCAGACACTAGAGCAGGCAGGAGCACACGGGGTTTTTGGGGGGCTGCAGACACACAAACACCATTTCACCCACTGACCAGTGATGGGAAGAACAACTGAGCTGCAAGGTGAGACCTGGAGCATCACAGCCCTCAAATAAATCAGCAATTTCCATGTAGATTAAATGATATGGACTCTCAGTGGTATTTAACATTAATATTGAAAAGCCTCTATAAATTTAGGCAGTGTTTAGGCTGGCAGTAGAGAGAAGAACCATGAGCAGGAGCTCCCAGCTGCCTCAGACCCAGGAGAAAATTGAGTCACCCACCATGGCCTTGAAGCTCTTGGGTCCAAATAGCTGAAATTAATGCTTTTTTCTGTCCTTGTCCTCCTTTTCCTCACTTTTCCCCCAAAAATTCAGACAAACCTGCCCAAATTTTGTGCCACACACACAGTTCCAGCTGCTGCCCCACAGCCTCAAATGATAGCAATTATTTCTATGGTTTCCTTCCTAACTAGATCTAATTAAAACTGAGCTGTTAACCATCTTTTCCAGGTTATGAATAATTAATAGAGCATTTTTATAATACTTACTAAATATGACAGTAGGGTATTAGCATTTCCTTACCTTAAATGGTCCCAAATCTTTGCAAGACTAGAAGTTCCCTGTAACTTTTGTCATTAAAATTGGGGTTTATTTTTTATGGGTCGATATGTAGGATAATTCTCAATATACTTTAACAGGTTTTTCTCAGACTGAAGGGATTTTGGGAGTAGCCTGCATGTTTCACACATAGCCAACCACTACTGTGACACTACACAAGATTTTGGAATAAAACTCAAGAGGACAGAGGTGGAAAATAGAGCATCTTACTGACCTGCTCAAAAAACAAGACATAGAGAGAGATTAAGAGCAACAACTAAACCCCAGAAGATTGTTTTCAACCCTGGAGGGACTTTCTACATCAAAATAAATAAATAAATAAATTATTCTGAGTCAGGAAGGGTGGATCATTCAATTAGTTCAGAAATGTCACCACATAACAGATAATTCACATAAATAATTTTGGCTTTTGCCACTGAACTGAGAACAAAGTTTCTAGATTTTTAACCACAGCTGATGTGTTAATTCTAAAAAAACAACAAAAAAAAATCTCTCCCTGCCAGAGAAGTGTGAGTAATTACAGCATGCAGCTCACCACAAATGTATTGCTACTTTTCTTAAAAACCCTGACTATGAAAGGAATCCAAGACTGACAAAGTGAAAAAATATGTCAAATTATAATTTCCCTGGAAGAATGTGTTGAGCTGTAATTTCCCTGTCTCTCAGAAAAATTATGTCACTATTAGCACTCAGAGAGATTTAGTTTCTTTTTCCAAAATTAAGTCACTGTGTAAAGCACACACTTAATCCTGTTTTATGACAGGAAACAGACGGGCATTATTAGCAGATAATCTTGGTTAGCTCTTGGATGTTTTCTTTCGCTTTCAAAAAGTCAGATCCCAAATTGCCAGGCTGGCTTGTTAAAACAAAGCTATAGTGCTAATTAAAGTCATGTTTAAAATGAGATCAAGGAAGAAAATACAACAATTCTTTTTTTCCCAGAGCCAATATTTGGTGATTTCGCAATGAACTTCCAAAGTA